GGGTGAAACATTTAACCCAACCGCGGGGTCAAAACAACCCAATTGCTGGGTTTGTCCCTATTTTACCCAGCACTGGGTTGTATTTAACCCAGCATTTTTTAGAGTGTATACAGTAGAAATTGTCCTGGAATACTGTACCCATCTCCTTGGACTGTCCGTTATCCCAACCCCCAACCTCTAATTTTAAACTGCCCTGAGGTTTGGCTTCCCTGTGGCCCAAAGCTCCAGAACGCCCCCTCCTCTTAATCTCCGCAAACAGGTCCTAACACCTAAATCATATCAGGCGTAGACCGCACTCAAATGCTCAATTTACTACAAACTGTCCCAAATAACGTCAATCACTGAAATAGGAAATTGAGAACAGTAATATGCATCTATCAATGAATGCATTTTGTTTCGTCTTGTGTGCAAAGACGCTGCATGTTTTTTGTTCCAGGTTTTGTTCTTGGGGTTGCCCAATATGGCTGCAGTTGTTACCAGACACAAGCATTTCGGTCAAGAATACCTCAGTACTGAGTCTAAATATGTTGTTCGGGAATACTCCAGGTAATCTGAAGAATTACAGCAGCTTAAATCAAGCAAGTTCAAGTTTTAATGGATTGTCGCGGCTAATCATGACGTTCACGGCAATACTAAAGCTACTTGTAATAAAACAGTAATATCATGTATAACATATAATAACATTGTTGGAACTCTGCTGATACACCATATTACCTACAGTAGATGATCCCTTCATGTCACTACTTTCCTCTGAGTAGCTGACATGAGATACTTTAGGAAGTTGACGTGGCCTGCAGTGTGACACGCTATACTCTGTGTAAAACTCTTTTCTAATTATGCATGCGGCTTATGTGACCTCATATTAGTGAGAGAGTGACCACAGGCTACATTTATCACACTGCAGGACCATTTCAAATAAACTGAAAGGAAGGCAAAAAGTGATTAAAACGGTAAACAACTGAAAAGAAATGGTGATCAGATTTAGGGCCTGAAGTATATACTTTAACTTGACCAATCATATTTAATGCACAGGACAGCAAATACCCAGATATTGCCTGGAAACATTTTGCTTTCATTAGTACATTTTAGATACATATATTGAGTTTGATAAGCTTTGTCATTAAATTGGTTGTTTAAGGATAAGAACGTGGTATGGTAATTATATATGGTTATTATATATAGTTATTTTTGTTCATTAAAATTAATTAGATAACTTGCCCAGAAATGATCAAAATTTGTATATTTTAATATATCAGAACAAAAGCAGATTTGTTTAAAGGACATTTTATGTTTAGTGAAAATAATTCCACACCAAAGCAACATTGTGATGGTGGTAGTTATTGTTTGCCCTCTGAGGGGTCAAAAGGCCAATATTGGTTTTTTGTTTTGTTTTTAATTATAGGTTAAAACCTATAATAGCTATGCATGTGAACCATGGGTAAAGAGGATCAAATATAAAATGTTATCTTTTTTTTTCTTTTTTAAGTTTTACTTGTTTCTTTCCACTTAAGACTGCCCTAAAAGGTGTTGCTTGAAATGCATGAGTTATGATATGCTTTTGTATGTTTGAATGCATGTCAAAATGAATAAACGGATTATTAACCTGAGATGACATGAAGCGTTGATGATTTCTGATGAATCCTGTTTCTCTCATGCTGTTTGTATAGAGTTATGCTTTGAGCCCACTGATATCATTTTATTATACACTCTTAGAAAAAAGGCGGTACCCTTTCAAAAGGTATTAATATGTACACTTTAGGTACTAAAACATATTTTTTAAGTAGTAATATGTACTTTTAAAGGGATACAAAGATGTACCTTTTTACTTTTGTACCTGAGTGTATGAAAATGTGTTTTCAGCTCTGCGGCTGAAGAGGTGAAATATCAATACCAAACACAGAAGAGAATCCAGGGAGTGGTAAAGCCCTTTAAACAATTATTCCTTTCCTTTTAAAAACTTCTTGACATGCAGCTGTTATAGTACTTTCATTGGCCAACATGTACTTTAATGTACTTTAAAGACATTTGCTGTTACCTGTAGTAGGCATCAAGGGTTAAATAGGACTGACTCTATGTTGGACATATATTTTTTCCATATACTTTTTAATGATTCAATAGCACAATGAATCGCTTGTCTCTTTTCATCAGGTGGAGAAGAAGATGCCTGAGAAATACATCCGTGAGGAGTCCATGATCAGGGGCCCCAAGTTTGTGGTTAGATTGAGGTCCCACACAGTGTATGAAAACAGTGCTATTAAACTTTTCTGCACTGTGGAGGGATATCCCACCCCACAAGTCAAATGGTGAGGCCTGCCATGCTGCACGCTAAGTTCAGTGCAGTTGCTCTCAAATCTCTTCTGAGGTCATACAATGCACTTTGACTTTGAAGTTGCAGTTTTAAAAAAAATTTTTTTATTTGTAACCATGTATAAAGAAACTCTAAGAAGATGTATTGTTGTTATATGACAAATATTCTACAGGTTCAAGGATGATGTCATCTTGGACATTTCCTCTGGAAAGTACTTTGTGGAGAGCAATGCAGGATTCCATGCCCTCACCATCCTCAAGTAATTTGAACTTTTCTGTGTAATTTTTGGACTTTTTAGTGATGGGGTTTACTGATGATCTGTATTGAAGGGAATGAGTGACAAACTCGGGTTGAGTGCTCATTACATGCTTACGTCCTAGTTATTAACTGGCCACAGAAATCAGGAAACAAAGTGAACCAGTTTTACAGCCATTTTGACCATCTTTTTATGACGAAAATGGAGAATATCCAAGCATCTCTGAAATATTTACTGTTATCATCTATTGCAGTAAACACATTTGTAACTCTTTCTTAACATATTTTGAAAGAAAAAAAAGAAAGAAAAAAATTCCTGATGAAGGTTCATGCGACCGAAACGTAGTCACGTAGTGATATGCTTTGCATAGATTTGTTTTAAAAAGGAAAATTAAAAAAAAAAAAAAAAAAAAAGAGACTTACAAGTTATTAAACGTTTGAAAAACTTTTGTCTTGCAGCAATCTCAGAAAAAAAAAAAAGTTGCAGCTCACCTAAAAAAAAAAACATTTGTATATAGATCATGTAGCCTATTTTAGATCCAGTAAGATTTTGCATTGTGACATAATTGTATCTTGATAACTAGGTAAATAAAAAATTAAATCAAATAAAAAATGTAAATTCCCCCAAAATTCGTAATGCACCTGAATGTTTAACTTAATTTTAAAAATGTTTTTTTTTTTTTTGTGTGCAATTTTCAGAGGTTATTCTCTTTATTTTTTGCCTATATAATATATATTTTTTATTGTTGGCGACATTCACCCTCTAAAACACAATAAAATGTAACTAACAAGTGAATTTCCACAAAAGGAAGTCATGTCAATGGGATTGCATGTGAACTTTTCCAATTTAGTCCAGGGCCAGTCGATGCGCCGCCCACGTCTTGAGCTCCTGTCAGCTGTTAATGTCAGAGTGCTGAGTTTGGTGTCATCTGACACTCTGGCGCCTTACAGAGAGATGACTTTCACTGCTGTCACCCTGTCAGTCCCACAAAAACTCACCCTGGCCCTTATGTCACATTCCTGACGGCTTCTTGCATTCAGAGCCCAAACCTCACAGGTGAAGCTTGGCTTTCCGCAATTCGTCTAAAATGACCAAACCTTTCACTTTTTGACACACAGCCATTCTCCTCAAGGCCACAGGGGCCGGGGGAGAGGGCTCTAATATAGTACGGTCACTCTGAAGGTCACATTACAGTCGTCTCGTCTCATTTTCTTGTCCCTTGCATCTCGTGTTTGCTATTCAAGCCTCAGAGCCTCACGTGTTGAACACGTTTCGAAAACAGGCGCTAGTCTACATTAGCATTTAGTTTGGAGCAATTATCCTCTTGACATTAGAGCATTAGTTAACTGCCAATTTATCAATCATTATGGGGAAGCACTTTATGTGCTTTCCAAATGTCAATTAGGAAATGACTGTGGCGTATATCCAATCAAATAACAATCATAGTGATTATTTATTGACTGATTAATTAGTGGAGTGGGTGAAGCGGTGTTGCGATCCAGCCGTGTATTGATTGAAGTTGTAGACACCTGTGAATGAGTTATGCGTGTTTTTTGTAGGTGTGCAACTGATGACACTGCAATGTACACGGCTGTAGCCTCAAACTCGCATGGACAGGCTTCTTCCCAGGCCTCCATCATTGTGAAGAGTAAGACTTTTTATCCTGTTTTATGGAATCTAAGCTTATCTAGCAAGATTTGCTGGAGAACCAAAAAAATTTACTATTAATTACCCAAATTTAGACAATGAATCCTTTCTTTACAAAGTCATTATATACTTTCTATGTTGACTTTTAGGGTGCAAAGAGGAAGAAAAGTCCACTCCTTATTCCTGGATGCCTTACCAGTGTAAGTGTGAAGGGCTCTATTCATTAAAGAGTGAATAAATAATATGATTTAAAAAAGAAAATAACTGTTTTGGTGTTTCTCAGATGCCATTTTACCTGAAATCAAGTATACGAAGATTAACATCACCTACACTGAGACGTTTGACGTGACCTTTGGAAAAGAAGGCGATAAGGTCACTTTGACCTGTAAGATGACCATTAACCCCAACCTGGCTAACCTTCAGCCTGAGGCGCTGTGGTACAGAGATGGTAGGAATTGGCCATCAAAGGCCAACACAAATAGTTCTGTGTGTGCGTGTAGTGCAGTTATTGTTAATGAAGCCGCGGTCACACTAGACTTTGAGCATGCGAAATTGCTCATTCTTGACCCTCAACGGTCATGATATGACGCCACGTTCTGCAGCGTCTTTTTAAAAATGTACAGTTTATTCAACAGATAACAAATAATAATAAATCCAAAATGTTAAAACATACAATCTACTCCACTTTCCTGCAGTGCTGCGGTTTTAAATTTATGTTCTTTTAATTCAGAGGTCATGCCGTGATGTTTCGATCTTCTGTTGGTCACACGGTTTCACGTGATATGAACTCGTAGGTCAGAGTTGGAATGCAGCAAAATGTGAAACAACTTAGCATGTGTCACGCTTCCTACTGTGAGGAGCGAGGAACGAGGAGACGGAAAGGAACTCTCGATGATAATACTTCATTTTCTTCACATGGAACAAGGAACACACACGTAGGAAACGGGAAATGACGTTCAGACTCGTCAAACAAACATCGGGCAGACTACACAGTACATACAAGACATAGCAAGGGAGTAATTACAACACACCTGAATCAAATAAACAAACACAGGTGGAGACTAATGAACTCATAATGAAACAAAGATGACAGGAACATAACCAAATAAGGACAAACAGGAACATACACGTGACATTACTCTCCCCTCCCAGAAGTCGAGTCCCGCGCCGTAACAGTTACACCGGGGAGGGGGGACGGGCGCCCTGGAGGCTGGTGCAGGGCAGGAACAAGGTGGAGACAAGGAGGGCCTCCAGGGTGGATCAGGGAGCTCCGGGAGCCATGGCGGAGCAGGGGACTCAGGAGGCCATGGCGGATCCTCCGTGACCTTAGCCGGCTCGGCCACCACGGCCAAGGGCATATGCCCCCCCCCCAAAAAAATTTTCTTGGGGAAAATTAGGAATTCTGGGGGGCACTTTGGAGGAGCGGGCACTTGAAGGCGCTCTGGAGGAGCTGACTCTGGAGGAGCTGACTCTGGAGGGTGCTCTGGAGGTGCAGGGCTGGCTAACACGGGGGAATCGGGAGACGAAGGAGGGCTGGACGGGACCAGCGGAGACGAAGGAGCCTCAGGGGACGATGGAGAGCTGGACAGGACCAGCGGAGACGAAGCAGAACTTTCTGGAGCGGATTCTGGGGTGAGGATAGGAGCCAAGAACTTTGGAGGTAGCGCCATGTCCAAGAGCGCTGAGTCAGTGGGTTGACGTAGGAGAGGCCGGCAGGCATGACGGTGTGCTGGTTCTGGATCGGGGCCAGACACTCTCCAGACACCGGAGGATCCCTTCCCTCCAACTTAGTCCAGTGGTGTCTGGGAGGTCCACGGGGCGATGGTAATTAGCCCTGATCCAGAACAGAGAGTTGAGCGTCGCGTCGTCTAACGCCGTACTCGCGGCGATCCCGCAGAACTCCCACGCATACTCCACAAACGGGAGATCCAGGCGAGCTAGGGCGGCAAACCAAGCGGCAACTTCCATAGCCGCAGGGAGGAACTGGGAAAACAAAAAACTTTCATCAAACGAAAACAAAACGGGGAGAAGGGGCGCCGCTTACTATTTTGTTTGGTCCGGTATTCTGTCACGGTTGCACTACTGAG